TGTTGACCTAGTTTTAAAGAACTGCCTCCAGCAGTTCTTGTGAAAATACCACAATACTGCTAACAAGTTGATTTTATTTTACTAAATATTAAATATGTGAAAAAGGAACATTACAGAGCAGATATAATGATCATACATAATCATTTTCGATTAACATTTAAAAAGGAACAAGTAATAGGTTTACTCCATGCTGAAAAAAAGAAGAAAGAGAACACAACGTTTCGGCCGTGGAGCCTTCTTCAGGTGTGGCTCCACGGCCGAAACGTTGTGTTCTCTTTCTTCTTTTTTTCAGCATGGAATAAACCTATTACTTGTTCCTTTGCAGCCTACGCATGCTGACGCAGCTACCCACCTGAACTACTAACATTTAAAAATGTTATTTGACGTTAATAATTTTACAAACATTTAAAACAGACATGGTGGAGTTAATGTTCTGAACCACTGCTGTCAGCTTTAAGTGAACAGTTGAGTCAGGGCATTTAACAACTACCTTTCACTGCATTTCCTTTTTCCTATATTTAACAGTGAAGAAGGGTGTTATTTAAACTGCAGTGAACTATTTCCCAGCTATAAATTCTGACAACCACTCTCATTTTATTGAAATAATAATAGATATTCTATTTAAGACTAAATAAAGACCATAAGCATTACTACATAGTACTCATCTAATGAATAGTGGTCAGACACTTAGTAGACACCTCTTCATACCACAAGAAATGTGCTGAAGGGTGGAGCTTGGAAAAAAAAGTCTTCAAAATAATTATTTGCATTTGTACAGAGCTGTTCATCCATAATTGTTTCAAAAGGCTTTATATATAAGAGAGGACACTTCATTCACTGCTAAAATGTAGTGCACACATGGGCTATTCACAGCAGTCATTATGTGCCAGGCAATCCCACTACACAGCACATCAGTTGGAGAAGTGAGAAAATGCAGCACCAGGTTAATTAAGACAAAGCTTTAAGAAGGATAGATTGTACAAGCACAGAATGTAATTCAGTCAGGACACAAGAATTAAAACACCTACTCTACATTTCTGCACGATGGAATCTTTCGGACTAAGTAGTCAGGACCTCTGGTTAACATCTCACCCAAAGGATGGCACCTACAACAACTCAGTATCTTCAGTCACTATAAAGAGACAGAGATTTTTTTGGACATTTAGGTCCAGAAGAAAGACCCAGTCTAGAGGTCTACAAATACTACTTACAGCCACAACCAGGTTTTCCACCCCAGTGCCATCCCATGTCCAGATTTAGTTTCAGAAATCGAGCACATTACAATGCGATCATGCTGCTAATATTTGTTACTTTTTATGCTTAAAGAAAGCAAAACATCACTAATAGATGTACATTTTGTGCATAAAAAACAAAGCAAGTGATTAGGATTAAAATACCTCAGTGGTTAGATCTTACGTTTTAAGATATTATAATTTTGTGGTACTACCTACCCATAAAGATAATATTATTCATTACAAGATTACTATCTCAGCACACCTCCTATCTACAAGAAAGTGAAAAGGAACGTGTGTCAGTGGAATAAAGGTGGAAATATGTGCACAGCAGTTCTGTTTTTGATGTAAAGTTTGGTATTGAATGGACTTCCTACATGCATTCAATATACTTCTGAATATAATGTACATGAACCATTGCTATACTGGTCTTATGTGGGGAGTTCTTATATTTTAATTCAAACTTTAATATTCCATAATTCCCATTTTAAATACGCAGCCTTCTCTCTATGAGACCGCAACATGGAGAAGTCATACACTTGCAGAGTTTTCATCTGTTGCTAATTTAATAGTCAGCACTTTTGAAGAGTACCTCCCAACAGGTTAGATCAATAATGATGGTGCCCAAATTGCTCAGTTGTAAAAGACATATAGCTAAGTAACTAGTGTGATTTTTTTGTGCATAACCAATACATTACTATACATCTACAAATCACTATTGAAATGATCAGAGCATTTACAGGTAGTATAAGTAGGTTTTTATTGCATTTTATTCAAGTTTAAAATATATACCATTTGTTTGTTTTTTTCAGCACTTGTTTTTAGTGGTTAGCATTGCGGTCTCTCAGCACTGGGGTCCTGGGTAGCTATCTGCATTGAGCTTGTATGTTCTTCCCGTGTTCATGTGGGTTTCCTCCGACTTCCTCCCACAGTCCAAAATCATGCTGGTAGGTTAAGCTGGCCCTTGTGTTAACGTGTGTGTCTGCATCTGTATGTGACTTACGATGGAGTGGCATTCCGTTCAGGGTGTATCCTGCCTTGCATCAGTTGCTTACAGGTATTACTTTCTATACACAGTATATTCAAAATTAACTCTACTCACATTTTGTAAATGTATTCCAACACTCTTGTTTAAACAAATATAGAAATGCAAAGTTTACACTGTACAGAATGCAGTCATAGAATTTTCAAGCTTTTATCACCACGATGACCATTAGTTTATAGACATAACATATTAACAAAAGCTTATGAAAACAAATGAATAAATACAAGATTAAAATTAAAATCAACAAAAGCAGTAATACACACCTTACTGATTTTTCACGCATGTTAGAAAAGTGGGCTGTAAAAAAGTTGCTGTTCTGTAATTGAAAGCAAAAGCTTCTTAAAGAAGTTGAGTTTAACATACAGTATATAGCAGTTTTGTTAGCTCAGTAAGGTTTATATTGTTAAGTCTGTGATTCAAATTACAATTTACAATTCCAAAGCTGAGACATTTCTTTCCACATCACACAAATTCTAGGTTACTGCTAGACACTAGTCATTTCCAGCAGGTGAGGAAAACAATCCTTCAATGAAAACCAGAATGTCAGTCTCAGACACACGATATCCCATAGTGAATTTAGAAGAACATCGGATAATCCAAACATTAAAAATATCAAGGATGACAGGAGACAACTGGACAAATTTAGAACAATTCCCTATAGTTCTATAGTCTCTATTTCCTTTAAAGCCCCCCTGAACCGGACAATGTAGACTAGCCAATCTAACCTTCAGATATCAAACCAGAAGACAAAAAAAAAATCTCTCAGCCACAAGTCTCAGTCAACACTGCAAGCATAGGAGTTTTAGCCGTTGTTTCTTGTTGCATGAAAAGGCAATACCATACCTGCCCAGTTCCAACTATATATTTCATGACGAGCGATTAAAGGGACTAATAAAGGGACAAAAACTACACACTGGACATACAATAAGGTAATTATTTCAAATATCCTTTAACCCCAACTGCTCCAGGGGCCCCATAGAAATGCCTGACCCTGCGCTCTGACCCCAAGCTTCTCTGTGAGTCTCATGAGAGCAAGCTGGGGTATGTGAAAAAAGACCAATTCCTAATACATTGTATATTGTATTGTATATGGCCACTAAAGTGTTTTATCTTATCTCTCTCCGATAGTAGTTTTCTGCACCTGGCTTAAAGAAACATAATCTGGAAAACATTACAGTGAAAGTAGGCTAAATATTTAACAAAAATACTAAATTTAGTTGTTCTTATTTGGGTTTCTATTTACATATTACTGTTGTTGTTTTCAAGTTTACCAACAGGTTGCTGCAAATTTGCTGCTCAAAGGTTTTAGGCTTATGTTGTAGCACTCTTTCCAGTCTAGTTCCTTCTTTATCCAGAAATATTACAAAAAACTATGACCTTCTACTGAACTTTGGCTCAACATTTAGCCAGTTTAATATAATCATTCCTTATAGATCTATATATTTCAGTACAAAAAATAGCCTTTTATAGATGTTATGAAAATTTAAGTTATGAGAAGAACATCGCCACTACAACTTTTACAAAGTTCACATTTGGTTGTTAAAATCAGGTTTTTAATGATCAATAGGAAGATTTTTAAATGACAATTTTGGTTTCTTTTTGATATAAATGGCAAGCAATGTTGGTTTAATAGTATGAACACTACTTGGGGCTTTGTGTAAAGAGTTAAAATATATGCTGTGAGCTTCAACAATTAAGTTTTACTTTGTCTCCATGTCTGTGATAATAATGGCAACTTTATAGCCATCACAGAACTTTTAATTAGGTCTATACATTTCTTAGCATCACAGAAGTTGATGTGGATACAATTAGCACTAACACTTTCAATTCATGTCTTAATGTAACAGCAAAAGAAATTATAACTCCAACAGACATCACTGAAAAGATAGTACAGCAGTTCCAGCAAGGACAAAGGACATTTTTTATTTTAAAAAATTATTAAGAGAATCTACTGAGCAACTCCCCATTACCAGCCCTTACAGTGTTTGAAAGCAAAACCACAATCCTAAAATATCAAATGTGCTGTCGTTAGAGTACAAAATATTAACGTTGTTTATAAAGGACATCAGTATGGTAAATGCCACTAACATTTAAGATACACAATTACAATAACATGCATTATGCTGATATATAGTACATATAAAGATTTGAAAACAAGATATTACAAAGAAATGTTCCATACTAAATGGCCTTTTTAGATCATCAATATAGAATATTTAAACTTTGATAAAAGTGTGATAATAAACGAGAGGGAAAAACGTTATTATTGTTAGCAGTAACAGTGAACCATGACCACATTTTCAACTGCAGAGCTCATTAAGTCACATTTTTAGAAGCTGCACAGAGAAATTAAATTACTGCATTACTGAATGTAATAAGATTGCCTTTCTCCCGTGACACAACCCTCTTATTTGATTTTATCAAGTGAATTATTTTGATGGTAAATGTTTGCTTTCGTTAAAACCACGGTTTCTACCAGAGTTTTATTTTTTTCAACACACACTGGGATATTTGCCAGATTTGGCCTAGTTTTTGTTCCGTTTTAACCTCCAAGTGCAGCGATAATACCAACGTCTTTCCAAGCAAGGGACCGGCTATAAAGTTCAACCTTTAGAAAAGAAGCTAGAACCACACGCCTTTTTTTCTTAAACGCCCAATTTAAATATTCTACATTCCTATTTTTAAATTAATTGACGAAGACAATTTTATCTTTAAAACCATACCATTCTCTCGATTTCAAAGCTTTCGTTCTTCGGTTCTAATTGACAAATGATCCCTTACAGCAACACTGTGCGAAAACTTTCCACTGACGCCATCACGGTAGCAACAAAGGATCTCCGCCAGGCATCTGATTTTTACTGTTATTTTCACAGCGGCGCCCACAACACCGAGTTACTGAAATAATACATGGAATGCACAAATAAAATAAAAGACAATGTGCGGTGCAACTGCCTTACAATACGACTGCACTTCACCGTCTAACGTGAAAACAAAATAAAATAAAAACTTTAAAATGGCAACTTGCTACAGCTGCATTAAGTTTCCGTATTTTTATATCGATCTTTAGTGATCTACTTAGGTGCTCTCATGCATTTGCCTTTTATAAGCTACACTTTAGTGCGTTGTTAGATTACTGCGACAAAGTGATACAAACCACCAGAAACAACTAATTTGCAGGACTGGTCATTACAAAAACTGTGCATTAGACATACGTATTACCTTGTATTACGCACTCAAACGTTAGTGTGTCTGGAAAGGCCACGCAAACACTTTAAAGGCCTGGATGCCTGTTAAAAAATATGATCAAATATACAGGGTTAATTATGATAGCTATAATTATCTTTACAGAGTAAGGCCTGTACGTGCATTGTTTTAAACATAAACTCTACTGTATTTTTAAAGTATCTTTACAAATACCATCGTGGCATTAAAGCAACAAATTCATGACATGTCTATATTTTAAACTTTTAAATTTGTTTTTGCTCTGAGAGATGCATGTGAAAAGATTTCCAAATAAAGGAACTTAATGGCGATGCAAACGACAGGGGCAGTATGCATTTAAACTGCTGCTTGTTACTCAAACTGCAGATATTACTAACGCCACAGTGATAAAAGCAGCAGAGGTTCCTACAATTCATGCACCACCAAGTCAAATCTCAATGTAATCGAAGAAGCAATCTATTTATTAAACTCGAACGACACGTCTCGTATTGTGGATATCCTGCATGCCGGATAACGAGGTAGAGTACTTTGTTTCAAAAACAACAAAATGTCGACATCAGTAATTTCAAACAAATCACTCACCTATTCTCTTTCGTTGCAGTTAGTCGACAAGCAAGAGTGTTAAAAGCTGATGACAAAATCGGAAAAAGATTTTGTCAACGTACTAAAATTAATAATTTTGTGAATTGCACGTATATATTAAAAAAGAGTTCGGTTTAGTTCTGCCTTCCAGACGCCGAAGAAACAGCTGTGAGGATGTAAACATAAAGTCACGTGGTCACCAGCAAATGGAGCTGCAGAGCAAACTGGGGCTTTAAACATGCAGGGTCCTTTAAACAAAACAAGTGTGTGAAACTTCATACAAACTTGTGATATCCTGAAGGGATAAAAGGTTTTCTGCTCGCCTTCCCGTCTTTCAGACCACGGAAAAAGGGTGTAGGCAGAGATTATTAGGTGCCATAAAAGATGACTTGACTCCTGAAGTACGCACTTCACAGAATTTCCCAGCTAATTAGCGCAGTTCATTTATTCAAGTTTCTCAAAAAACGAAATACCAAATGAAAAACAAATGTGTGGTTCGTATGGAGTGGAACTTAGCTAATAAGATATATTTTCTATAACCAAAATACAATTTTGAAACATAGTTTTTGATAACTTCGTTTTTATTGCCTTACATTCATGTTTTTTAAGTTAAAATTGTATGTTCCTGACAACCTGATTTATTTCAATACTTCTTCATGGTAATGCCTCAATAAAAATGATCAAAGAATTAGAAGAAACCTGTATTTGGGGATTAAGGCATGATATTGTACACAACATACAGGCCTTCATAATATGAAATAAACAACATTACAGCGTGCTCTCAGAGCATTGAATGCATTGTCATCCTGCCACGCAACACCTTGTGGCAGACCTCCACGTCGTTTTGTTTTCAAATGCTTGGTTTGTGTTAGACATCTATCATGTTGTATTAGGCCACATTTGTAATTGAGACTCAATTATCCAAGACATGGTCAAGAAATAGTCCCAGGCAGTCCACTGACAGTTTAATTAAACTTTAGCCTCTGCTACAGTACATCCTCTCTACAGTCCAGATCATGGGACCTCTTCCTATTTTTGGAACACTGAAGGATGGACTCAGTAATGTCTGAGAAGTTGCACTTTACGAAATTAGAGATTCAGCTTGGAAAGTCAAGGCAGGGAGGAGGTGTCCAGTGTTCCAGTTTTACTAGTTTAGTTCTGACTTTGACATATTTGCTGAGTTATAATAAAAAATCATTTTGATTCCAAAACAGCAAAGATTTTGATTTACCAAACACCCAGAGCATCTCTAATATATTATGAGAAGTACATGCAGGTATAAACTGCTCCCAAAACAGTTCTTTTTTATGCCTGTAACGTTCTTAAATCCGAGGTGGATTTTGAAAACTTAATGAAAATTCAACAGTCTACATTTTGCAATTGGTAACACTTAGTAATTAATATTTTAAATAGTAAGCAGATACATGTGCTCATTTCTCAAGTAGTATCATTCCTTGACATGACTAAATATTGAGATCACTTCATGCGATTTCATAAATACACTGGGTCATTAATGTTTTGTGTCTGCGTTGAGTGAAATTGCCAAAATTAAATGATTATAAATCTTTATAAATAACAGTTCTTTATAAATAATAGTTAAAAAGATGAGAAATTAATTAATACAGGAACAGCATAATACACTGTATGATCGTGTATCACAATGGGTGTTAAAGTTGACTGAAAGCAGCTTGTCTGAGAGAGAAGTTGCTCACTGTATGAGATGGTTTGTTTCAATACTCAGCAGACAAATCAGGAAAAGGAAACTGGCTCTGATTGGCCACATCCCGGAAGGATAGTCATAATGCCATCGCAGGTCTGTGACATCAATTTGCGTAATATGCAATCACAATAATTGCAAAGGTGTATAAACCACAAGCATACAGTACGAACACGAGAGGCCATTCAACCCATCTAGCCTATTTGTGTTCACTTTGCAGCCATATCACCCTGCAACTCACAACTGGCAGCCTACTGAAGCTCAGCAGGTGTGAGCCTGGTCAGTACCTGGATGAGAGACGTCCTGGGAAAAACTAAGGTTGCTGCTGGAAGAGGTGTTAGTGGGACCAGCTGGGGGTGCTCACCCTGCGGTCTGTGTGGGTCCTAATGCCCCAGTATAGTGACGGGGACACTATACTGTAAAAAAGGTGCTGTCCTTTGGATGAGATATAAAACCGAGGTCCTGACTCTGTGTGGTCATTAAGAATTACAGGGCATTTCTCGAAAAGAGTAGGGGTGTAACCCCGGCGTCCTGGCCAAATTTCCCATTGGCCCTTACCAATCATGGCCTCCTCATAATCCCCATCCATGAATTGGCTTCATTAATTTGTTCTCCTCCCCACTAATAGCTGACGTGTAGTGAGCGTTCTGGAGCACTATGTTTATAACTAATAACTTTTTTTTCAACTCTCAGGATCAGCCAGTATTGTATTTGGCCAGGGATACCACTCTGTAACTAAAAGTTAAACCACTGGCACGGTTGCAGTCAGTTTATGTTTCTCTTGCTGTTACTGTATCTTACACTCTCTGTAGGAGACCATCAGTTTGTCTGTTGATGAGTCCTGAGTTGAGTACTGTGCATTTAGACTCCCGTCTCTCAGCTATGTGGATAAGATATGCTGCTACTTTGCCAGGCTATACCCCACTTCTCCAGATACCAATGCCTCCAGTCAGCCCTGGTTCAGCCAACCAGTCCTGTTTCTTAGCAGCACACTTCAACTCCATTGAACCTGGCAAACAAACCACTATGCCTTAGGATCATAGGATGCTGTTCTTCCCTTTCAGGATAGTTTTACCATGTCTCCTGGCTTTCATTAATCTTTTGGGTAATGAATCTCCTTTCTAATTATTGTTCAGCCCATCTGTCGGCTCATGTGATGTCCCTCAGTATAGCCTAAGCTCAAGGGGGTTCTAGTAAGAATAACAAGCAAAAAGCATTGTAGAATATATACAGTAGTGGGTATCAGAATGATTTCACCCTCCATTTCACATTATTAAAACATTATTTCACATGAAAACATTTCATATTTTATTGTGTTATAATATGGATTACAATAATGTAATATTGCGATAGATTGTTTTTTTTTTGCCATAGATCAACACAAATGAATCAACAAATAATCTACAGATCCTTCTGAATTAATTATAAGTACAGTATAAAAAAGAAAATAACTGATTCACCCCCTTGAGTGAATATTTGGTAGAGGAACCTTTGCCAGAAAATATAGCCATGAGTCTCCTTGGATAAGTTTCTACCAGCTTATTGATAATTTAATAATTAATAATTGTTTACACTTATATAGCGCTTTTCTGGACACACCACTCAAAGTGCTTTACAGCTAATGGGAACTCACCTCAACCACCACCAATGTGCAGCATCCACCTTACATCTGGACAATGCGGTTCTTGTCTATTATTCTTTGCAAAAATATTGAAGCTCACTCAAGTTGAATGGGGGCCTTTGGAATTTTAACAATTTTCAACTCACACATTCTCGATTAGGACGGAGACTGGGCCACTCCAGAATATAAACACAACATTTCAGCTGTGGAGCATTCTTTGGGTGGAGCGTTCTTTGACACCCAAGAAGGCTCCACAGCTAAAATGTTGTGTTTCTTTTCTTTTTTTTGCAGCATGGAACAAACCTTTACCTACTTCAGTCTCTCCAGAATATTGTCTTTTTTTGTTTTTTAAGCTACTCTATTGTGGCTTTGGCTTTATGTTTAGGGTAGTTGTACTGCTGAAAGATTAATCTTCTCCAATGCTCTGGGTCTCTTGCAGAATGCAGCAGTTTTTCCTCTATGATTTTTTTGTATTTTGCTGCATCAGTTTTGCCTTCTATTTTCACAAGTCTTGCAGGCCCCGACATGGTGAAGCATTCCCAATAGCAATTAGAATTAAGAGTATAAATTCAGTTTCGAGACAGGATTTGACTGATTGACTTGCAAGTTTGACTATGGGCTGTGATATAATTCCACAGTAATGGAGCAACAGAAATTAAAGCATGTTTTTCCTGTGTTCTGATCTGTGCATTGGGGAAATGAAAGGCCAGAGTCCCGAGAGCTCAAATGAAATGAAAGTGTACAGAAAGGCAACACTTCTTGGATGCATTCAAAGAGCCAAACCATTTAGCCCTTAAAGGTGAGCAGCAGTTTTCTGAATCTTATTATGAAATCCGAAGCGAAGCAGCACTAGGAAAATTGAAGAGGATGCATATATGTTTATGTGGTAAAGTATTAATGATTCTAACAAACGCTTTGAGCAAATTGGCGTACACAGGGCAAAAGGGCCAAGCCATCTAAGATCTAAGAGAGAGCACAAACACAGAACCATGTGAGTTGTGCTCATATTACTGTACAGATAGAGCACTGCTTGCTTGGCACTTTTGCCCTATTCTCGCTGAGGCTCACCTCTGACTCTGAATTAGATGAAGCAGTTAGAAGATAGATGGATGTTCTAAAAGGCAGTATTAGAATATACTGTACTGTACATGCCAAATTTGGACATTTTTAATGCAGCTATTTTTGAGATATGTTAGTGCAACTATTTTGTAAAACATTTTTCAGGGTTAAGCAAGCCAAATGCTACAACCAACAATTCATTTTCATGTAATTTTACTTTATCCATCCTCCTGACATGAATATTGCAGAAAACATCCCCAAACCTTTAGAAATGGTATAGATAAAGTACTTCAGAAAAGCAGAGTAAAAGAAGATATTTTCATGTCTTTACTTGAACTGTAACTTAGTAAAGGCACAACTGTATCTGTCACATTTCTATAAGAGTATATATGAAAAGGGGATAAACTGGTTTCAAAACAAGTTTCAACACTAAAGACATCAAGACAGAAGCAGTATTTTTACATGGCAATATCCAGTAGTTTTGTTCTTACTGCTATACTTTTATGCATCCAAGCTGTATAACCTACAGAGATGTAAGAATGTTTGTTTTCTTCTCAAATTTCATGGGATATCCCAGGAACTTTGAACATGGCAGGTAATCTGTGAAAAATATGATATTGTAATTGTGACCAAAACTGTGGTTTACAAAATTACATCAGTTTGCTTGTACAAGAAAGAATAGTTTCTGGGGTAATTCTGTGGGAACTTGATTTAACGTATTTTGGAAACTCAGACTGAACACTATTATGGGAGGTAGAGTAATTAGCAAATATTGCAAAGAAAAATGAAAAACTAAAATATGTTGATTGCATAA